CCCGGGGCCAGGCGCAGCGGCCGTTTCCTGGGCCGTGCTGCGGGGCCGGGCCGGTGCCGCTCGGCGCCCGGGAAGGCGCAGAGGGCCTGCGGGAGGGGCCGCTCCCCAGCCTCCTGCGTATACGCCAGCCGCTGAAGGTGATCTTAAAACGGGTGAGGAAGCACACTGTCGTGCATCAGCAAACAGCACAACATCTGGAAACAGCTTTAGTTTCCTTCTGTTCCCTCGGTTCTAGGGAAAAGCAAATCCAAGAATCTAGTCCCAGAGCAGGTAAGGATAACTGTCCTTTTGTTCAAAAAATCACCTTTGCTGCCTAATTAAAACTGTCTGGGTTATTATGCTATGAATTACCAGCACTTGATGCTGGCACATGTCCCCCACGGAACAATACTATGCAGGAGCACTGTTCTGATTCTATACAATAAATATGTGTAATGCTGGCTTGCATAGAACAGTCAACAATAAGGTCTGTTTTTTACATATGTCAAATACTTATCAAGCATGTTGCATTATTGGTGTTCCTGATGAAAATAAGTTGGTGATTTATAGTGATTAAACATTTTGTTTAAAGAACTAATTTGCCAGGTGGCCTACCTGAGAAATAAGCATTGCAAAACTGCTACCTGATGACAGTAATGGTACCATCCAGCACTAAATTCAAATGATGGATGAAAGAAACCACAGCAAGACAAGGACATTTTGGTGAGACATTGCAAATGAATTTACAGAATTGTTGAGGTTTGAAGGGACCCTGGTACAACCCACCTGCCCAAGCAGGGTCAGCTGGAGCGGGTTGTCCAGGACTGTGTCCAGCTGAGTTTTGAGTATCACCACAGATATGAGACTTCCACAGGCTCTGCCAGGGTATGACATCCCTCACAATAAAGTGTTTTCTTGTGTTTCAGTGGAATTTAATATGTTTTAATTTGTGCCCATTGCATCCTGTCCTGTCAGTGGGCACTGCTGAGAGGCTGGCTTCCTCCTCACATGACAGATGTTCCAGTCCCTTAATCTTTGTGGCCCTGTACTGGACTCCCTCCAGTTAACTCTGTATCTTTCTTGCACTGAAGAACCTAGAACTGGATGCAGTACTGCAGGTACAGCCTCACCAGTGCAGAGTAACTTATTCAGGAAGTCCAGGGAATGTCTATTCCGCCAACACTGCCAAGGTTAAAAAAAAAAAAAAAAAAAATTCACACTTCTTCTCAGCTGTTCTTGCTGCCAACATAGTTGAGTATATACACTGATGGAAAGGAATAATAGATTTAAATACACTGGATTCGAAATATACACGATCTCATAAGTCATTCTTAAGATCCTATAATCTTAAGGAAAAGCTACAAATTTTTACTTGAAATAAATCATCCTAATTGTACATTTACTTGCTTAAGGGAGTGCAACAGCACAAAAGGCCACATTCTCTCAAGCCAGTATTGTTACTTTTGGGTAGTATCTAAATCTTCAGAACAGACACACATGCAGACAATAGCAATGCAGGCCTTCACACTGCTGAACTGGAAAGGCTACTCGGCTACTGTGGGCAGTAGCATAGTAGGAACTGAAGTACAGCTATTAATGTATTTCAGACACTGGACAACTTGCCCAGAATACAATTTAAGTGATGTGACATGCAAAATGAATAAAAACCAACCACACTTCTCTTTAAAAAAACCCCAAAATTTACTAGAATGCAGCAATGACTGTCAGAAACGACATTCTGATTATCTAATTTTCTAGTGAGAAAACACTGCATTCTGATATTCTCGATTCTTGCCCATTTTGTGTTTGAACAAACAACCACTTTGGAATTCAGAATGTTTAGAAAATACCAGCTTTGTTAGGAATGAAGTGAGGGACTGGACAGAAAGAAGTAATGCTTAATAACGTACAGAATAAAAAGATTTAGAAGGAAATGTTTTCTTTTCTCAGTGCCTTTTTAATTCTATTGAGAAATGCACTAAAATCCTCTTCGATGAGAATACAGAAAACTACAGCAGTTCCAGAAATACTTTATACATTTAAGCCTTATATTTGCTAACATGTTCACGAGCTATGATCATCCTTTGAATCTGAGCAGTTCCCTCGTAAATCTGAAAAAAAGAATTGCAATAATGTTAGCCAATGATTTTTAAAAGCTTTTAACAGACCTACACTTTTAAACCTTCATGGCACTAATCCAGTGTGGATCAGGATGTGCAGAAAAACAGAGAAAACAGAAAATTCAAGTGTGACAGAGTAACTACAGTGGGCTAAACAGAATAAATCACATACAAGATACGGAGAGACAGTCTTTTTCACTCGGGTTCTCTTATCTAAATGCAGAAGATTCTCATGAAAATAAACAAATGTGGTGGGTGAAGAAGGACGAGGAAGAAAATACTTAATTTAGGTTTTACAAAATAGGATTTAAAACAATAGGTGGAGGGGAGGAGGTGACTTGTGCTGGAAGTGTTGTATTTTCTTTGACTAGCCTTTCAAGGTCATGCTAAATGTTCTCTTTGATCCATTTATTTCCATTGCTTCTTGTTAACTAGTACTCTCGCACATACAGTTTTGTTTGGGTTTTTTGTTTTTGTTTTGTTGTGGTTTTTTTAATCATGTATTCTTGCATTTTCTTCTAGAAACAGTCTGCATCGTCCCTCTGTCCTATTTGTTTGCTGGCAGCAAACTCAAAGATGGACAACAAAGCATATATGAAGCTGTAATGCCAAAGGAGGCCACGTGCTTCACAGGTATACTGCAATGTAATGTGAGGGCTGGGGCAATATAGTTTAGGGGTTTAAGTGTTTCAGCTCCCAGTTCTCCCAGAACTTGTCTTGGCAAATTGCTCAAATTCACTTTCTCATTCACTTACAGGAATAATCTTCCCAAGAACCTTACAAAGTTTTTTGAAAATAAAGACGCTGCAACCTCTGTTCACCATTAGTTTTTTGTTTCAGGGGAAATGGTTCATTCCCAATGTGAATTCACTGACTGCTGCTGCTTACCCCATGTTGATCCAGATTGTATTTTGTGAATACTAGGTGCCTTTTGGAGCAAACTGAAATTGATATATACCAAATAGCTACCAATCCCTAATAAAGACATAATGGTCCAAGCCTACAGCTGGATCTTAACAATTATATGCGTATCAGGGATATGCAGTCCAGGAGACCAAACAGGCTTGCTATGAACTCAGCCTGCCCAAACTGCTTGTAGTGTAGTTGTCGGGGCATCAGCAGCTATTTCTGCAATCTACTAATCTGCTCCTGTTGCACTATATTACTTGTTGATGAAGACAGCCATGGAATTCAAGTGTAAAGACTCACAATCTTCTTAAGCAATTACAGGAAAGGTTTTGGTTTATAAGCTGATGGAAATAGTTTCAAGAATCACTGACAATTAGAGAAGGGAAGTTTTCCAAATTTGAGAAAGGAAACTTTCTACCAGAGTAGCCTAGATTTGTAGCCAGACAAACCTAGAGCAGAGTAAGGACATGTAAAAACGTTACCAGTAAACACAGTATTAGAATTGTGTAATACTGAAAAAGATCAACTATATGGAAGAAAAGTTGGAAAACCAAGTTTTTGTGCATGAAGCATATGGCCAATATACCATCTGGAATTGGGCAGCAATACAGTAAAGCACAGTGAAGTGCAAAGTATAATCAAGAGACACAGTAATTGTAAAGACAAAAGCCTTTCCTGAATTCTTTTGGGGATGAAGTGGAACAGAAGAACACACACATACACAAAAAAAACCCCCAAATCTGATTCATCTGAACAATTAAAAGTCTACTTAGCCATGCATTTGTGATGGGTCAGTCTAATGGAAAATCTAAGTAACTGGGATCTTGTAAAATCAGTCTTAGCTTTCAAATACAGTTTTAACCCTCACACCATCTTTCTCTAGAAAAGGAGACAGGAAAAAAGCCCAATCATGATAAAGTTCAATTAATCATTAATTTCCTCACTCACAGGAGTGCAATTAGGTCTAAGAACCTTTAGATTCCAGAATAATGGTTTTCTTTCCTTAAAGAGACAAAAATAAATTCATGGCTAGTCAGCTGTAAGAGAAATATTAGAATCTTAAGAAAGACAGCTGTTAGAGGTAACTAACATTAGAGGTCATGGTCCGCATGCATTTCTGGTATCATCTATTTTGATGTTTTATCTAGTCACTATTAATGTGATATAATGTCACAACATCAATAAAGATTACTGGTTTTGCTGGACACAATTAAAATATTCTTGCTGAATAAAGATCTGCAGCATATTATATGCTAACAAGAAGAATTACAACATGACATGGAATAGCTTCTTGGCAGTAACACTGCAGAAAATAGCCTGGGCATTACGGGTAACTATGGGCTAAACATGAGTAAGTATGAGTGGGTTTTGTTGCTAAAAAAAGGCTAATCACTCCAGTTTGTGCCACACTTCTGTTAATACAACACATGCAAGATAATCATTCCATGATAGTGATATCTCAACCAAAGTATTCTACCCAGCTTATGATACCAGAGTTTCAAACAGAAACTTTAGAGCACAGCAACAAATCATGACAAGGCTGGAAAAAGAAAGGAAAACAAACAAAACCACCCAACCGAACAAAAAAGCCCCACAACTTATGAGGAAAAAGGTGAAGAAGCTGTTTTAGTGTTCAGGATGAGAGGAAAGCTAAACTATAGGCAGGTACCAGTCCAGGATACATATGGAAGGTCAGATCATTTCCATCGCTGAAGGTTTTGAAGAACAGCATTATACATAAACTATCTCTACTTGCAGAATATGAAAGCAACCATTGGTATTTTGATCAGTTTTTTCTAAAGTGTTTTTCTTCTAAGAGTTCAAAAGCTTCAAAATTAAAAGTCCCAGAATTTCAGAGAGTTACCACATTGGAGGGCGGGGAAAACAAACCAACAACCATAATTTATTTCTTTTATGTGAGTTGAGTTGTTGGTCCAGTGCAGTGACTCTTGTATGCAAGAAGTTGCCTGATTTGAATGACTTTTTCTTTAAATTGAAGGATTATTGCTTTAATTCTAAAAATTGTGTTTTAATATGTGTACATCACGATTTGAAATAAATAGCCATTATTTTATTTTATATAAAATTTATGCATTACTATAAATATCACATTCTCTCTTTTACATTCCTGGTAGATTTTAGCATCTCTCATCAGTTTTTCTACAGGATATTCAGTATTAAATAAATTTCCTCCAAAAATCTGTACTGCATCTGTAGCTACTTGGTTTGCAATGTCACCAGCAAATGCCTTTGCAATGGAAGCATAGTAGGTGTTCCTGCAACCAGCATCAGCTTCCCATGCAGCTCTCTGGTAAGCCACCCTAGCCAGTTCCACTTTCATTGCCATTTCAGCAAGCAAGAAAGACACTGCTTGGTGCTATGAATGATGAAATAAACTATGTTAACATTGCCCACTTAAAATTCTATAGCATCCAAAAAAAAAATGATCTTCTTAACATAGCGATCTGTAGAGAATATCTTGGCAGAGCAAGGGCATGATGTTTTAGTTAAGGTCTGCCTGCACAACCCAGCTCGTAGCCCTGAAGGCAGTGCCCCTGAAGTCTCCTTAAAAGATAAGGATGAGAAACAACAGTAAGGTCGTAAACAGAAGGGAGGATGTTTAACAGGATTGGCTGGCCACGGGGGGGGGGGGGGAGGGCCGCGTGGAATCGGAAGTAAGGAGAGACTGAGGCTGGCATGAATGCGGAAGTAGATTCACTTATAACCAATTATAAGATGACATGTGTGATATTTAGTTAATTAAACTAATAGTAGTTTTGTTTGTACCACATGAACCCTGTAGAACCCTATAAAAGTGTGCTGTTTTAAGCTAATAAACGTCACTTTACGAAAGTTCACTCTTACCTCCATGAGGACTCTGTGAATATTTCGGGGAATCTTCCTACAGCGATCTCTTCAATAAACTCAGTAAATTTTACTAGAGGAGTTCTACCTAATATGGATCAGGCTCTCCTAATTGTATGTTGAATTAGGCTTTTTAAGTTTTTACTTCTCAAATCCAATGAGTCATAGGGATTAAGCACTGAATTATGAAGTTCTTAACTATTTATGAGATCAGTATTCACATTGCTGTTTATTCATATTTCTTTAAAACTGGTAAGCAGTGTGACTGGCAGTGTATTCTATTAGTATTAATAATGTGCATTGTTTCCCTGTTTATTACCACTGAAGAACTGAAGTATATTCTGATAGTACCAGTGTCAGGTTTTTGAGCAGAGTTTTCTTTCTACTTTTACTATATTATAGAAAAATTTGTGAAGTTACTACATAGCTAAGTTCACTTAAATGGTGCCGACCATTTATATACTATATATACTATATACTTCAAAAGCCTAAAATGGCAGAGATATAATATAAAAATGAAAGAACTAAAAAAAAGAGGAATAACTTTGAAAAATCAGTAGTAGTACATCTGGTGTGAAAACATAACTTTTATTTATATTCTCTCTCTCTCTCCCCACACCCCCCTCTGCCTCCACTTACTTCAACGATTGCTTTCCCAAAGGTTTTTCTTTCCAGAGCATATCTAGTAGCTTCATCAAGTGCTCTTTTTGCTAATCCAGCAGCAGCAGCTGCTACCTGAATTGAGTACAGCACAGGATAAAAAAATCACAAATTCCTGCTATATTTTATAAGTAAGTAATTTCTGATACTTACAGGTGGTCTGGTCTTATCAAAAGCTCCCGTTGCGATTTTAAAGCCAGCTCCCTCAGCTATTAATACATTCTCTTTTGGGATTCTCACATCTTCAAAGACAATACCTCTTGTATCTGAGCAGCGTTGACCCATATTCATTTCCTGAAAAGGTAAAGTTACAGAGGTGCAACTAATTTGGATTATTCAAAGGTACAATACATTTTAATTCCTTAGTTTACTCAAAGCATAAGGTATGCTTTTTTCCCCAAAACACTTCATCTAAAAATTACCATATACATGAAAAATATTAGTTCTGCACTTGCAGACCAGCATGCCCTTAATTTGTCTAAGCTGGGCAGTTTACTTTCTCCTTACATGAAATCAGTTCTCTAGCTGTAATTAGTCTTCTTGCTTTTCTCTGGTTCAACTAAATCCTTTAAAAAAAGTAAAGAATCTAATATGCAGGCAGTACAGGTATACTACAAATAAATAAATAAGCTTTTTTTTTTAAAAAAAAAAAAAAGAGAGAACTAGCACCAGTGTCTCCAAGGCCTCTTCCTTGATCAGCAGTGAGTAAAACTAAAGCTCACTCTGTGTGTATTTGTGGTTAAAATTGTCCAACTTGCTTTCAAGGCATACTACTTCTCATTTATTGGCACTTGTCAATAAAATAGTTCTCAAAGATTCTTTTGCAGCTTTTCAAAGTCATCTTGCTTGGGACCATTCTGAATAATTCCTTATCTGAATTAATAACTTCATAAATAAGTATGTCTTCTGAATAGTTTCTGTATGTTGTGAAAATGAAAAGGTCATTGTACATGAGCATATGAAAATATTCAGTTGCATAACAGTCTTTTTTTTTAATGGTAATTTGTTGCATTATGGTTTAGAATTGAACAATAATTCCTGGCTTGTAAAATAAGAGGTAAGAGTCTTCACCGTTCTTTGAATTTGGATTCCAGGGCTATCTGCTTCGACAATGAATTCAGTAAAGGCTTTGCATGCAGGAGCTTTTGGATCTGGATTGGTACGAGCTAATAAAAAATACGTAGTGTAAAACAAAGAAGAGGGGTGCAGTTTATCTTCACAGTTAGCAACCAGATACATTCTTAGCTAACAACTAAAATGTTCTGTGCCATGTAGTAAATTCTGTGTGTACATTAACAACGCCATTTTCTTGCTGCTCCCAAAATTAAATTAAGAGTGAGCAAGAGAGAGAAGTTTCAAAGATTCAAGATTTCATAAAATTAAATAAAATTACTGTAGATCAACATGCAAAGACTTTCCACCTTTTCCATGTATTTTAAGTCTTTTAAGTCCTTAAGGATATTATCAGCTTCACAAATAGTACAAAAGAAACTTATTCACAGCACATACATAAAAAATGAATGCTTAGAAAATACATTCTTGCATGGAAAATGTTATGTTATATCACCTGATTTCAAAGATCTTAATTTTATTCTTGTAAGTTGTAAATAAGTACTTCTCTTAGAAATTAAACAGCTGTAAATCACATTTATGGTGTTCAGTAATATCAAAAGATATCTGGTAGATTGATGGTTCTGCCTTGAACAAGGAAATTAAGTAACTAGAAAAGTCAGCTTTTTTATAAACTGTATAAAGTTTTTCCACTTGAATTAAGAATAATTTGGGTGTTGTGAATCAGTGTGATGTGAGACATGATGAAAGAGGTTTATATTGTAAAGCATGCTGCATAGACACCACAGCAATATCTACATTCTTTGACAACTGGAAAGTGTCTTCCATTCAGAAACTAAAATATAACATCACAATCCAACAGTGTTTCTAGCTTCACTGAGTACTCTGGAAGTTAAATCATACTGTTGCTGTCGTGCCCTGAAGAAAATGCAGAATTAATGTTATTTGATAGCAGCAAGATTCAAGAGGCCTTCTTGAGTGAGGCGTTGCCATGTCATCACTCATTTTCCTTTTTAGGCTTTGCACAGCACCAGGATTGCATTCTTATATCTTATCCTGATAAACTGGTCAGAGAATAAAGTGTAGCATGTTGGAACACAATGAACATTCAGATTTATAACACATCTTTAAAGAATCTAACTTTGCAGGGGAGGGGAAGCCACTATATAACATAACAACAGAAAATATTACTTGAGTTAACAGTTAACACACCAGTTTGCTTTCCCACCGTTTGTGATCCACATCTGACCATTAATAACATACTCATCTCCTTTCTTCTCAGGCTTTGTTTTTATACCAGCTACATCAGAGCCTGCTCCAGGCTGTTACACAGTAAGCCTAAAAGAAAATAAAATGCAAAACCTTGAGGAATAAAAGTTCTATTTTTAAGCAACCACAAATTACTGCAGACTATGCATCAAACTGAACTATAAAAGGTTTAAGTGAACTTCACAGTAAAACCCAAAACTTTAAATAAAAAAAAGTCCCACCAATCCAAAACAATCCAACCCAAAAAACCTGCAACAGCTGTCTTGAGCAAGATTCCAAACATATATGAGTTAATTTTCTTTATAAATTCATAATAATGCATAGAATTATCTTTTACCTTTAATCGGACAGAACCATTCTGTAACCCTTAAGTCATTACCTCCTCAGGCTTCACAAACTCTGATGTGAAAGCTGAAGACCTTTAAAATCTGAAAATAAGAGAACTGAGTAACATTTTATGTTTACTGTGACCTTCATTTTATAAGGCTTAGTTGTTCAGATTTTAATGCACTGCACATGAATCTACTTCTATGTAACAAGTACTACTTATATTTAAGATAACAAATACAGTTTAATTCCTATCCAAGTTGAGTTTCTCGCTCCCTCTCGAAAGGGAAATAAAAGGTATTAATTTTTGGTAAGTGACTTAGTACGGGGAGGATTTTTCAAGTAATATCTTCTATTTGCGTATTGAATGTATCTCATTAGCTATTCCCTGACTTTCAGTAAATGCCACTGTTTATTTACAAACCAAAATGGGCTAAGCTGAGTACAGGTCAGTGTTTTCTCAGGGTGGGGGGTGGCAGAAAAAAAATGTAAAAGGATTAATACTATTAATATGGTTTAGGAACACTGTACAGTGTAGCAGTCACACTTACACACATCATTGGTTCCTCTGTCATTCTTCCTAAGTATTTTTTCTGCTGCTGCTCATTTCCTGCAATGATTACTGGCATTTGCTGAAAGAAGAAAATATTTATTAATCATTTTTTTTAAGTGCACATAATGTAGTTTAAGGGACATAAGAAAAGACAGAACTTACCCCTAGGGAATTTGCTTCAATGGCAGTTTGAACCCCTGTACATCCATAAGCTAATTCTTCCGTAATAAGGCATGCTTCAAAACTGCCAAGGCCAAGACCACCTACAGTTGAAATATTTCATTTACTAAAATGGGTTTAAATTGTAATGTATTAGTGATTTACACAAATTAATTAACAAAAATGCATTCCCACACACACATTTGATTGTGCACCATATTTGATTAGACATTCTCATGCACTTTTTAAATAAAGTTTTGTCAGAAGAATAACAGGTGATTTGAAAATTAAATATCATAGTTCCAGGGTTATTGTGTGATTAATGTGGGACAGGTTGCACAGAGTGACAAGAATGTACCACTCAAATTTTTTTACTACTTTACATTTGAGAATTAAGAATTCTTAGGAAGCAGAGAAAGGGCTCCTGAGCATATGGGGGGGACAGGGGGAGAAGCATCCATATTAGTCAGACAACCAACTCAGTAATCTGTTTCTGACAGAAGCCAATAACGATACAACTATACTTCCTCAAAAATATTTTCCTGAGCCTTCGGGGGACTTCCTCAGCCAAAGAGATATCTCTTTGGTATCTTTGTTATGCTAACCCTAGACAGATATTTCTTGGGTGAATTTGCCCAGCCTCTTTTTGAATCTATGTAAAATTTTAGCATCAGTATTGTCCAGGGGCAATGAGTTTCACAAATTAACTACACAATGCATGTAGAACCATCTCCATTTATTTTGAACCTGCCATCTGCTGACTTCATACCTTCTAGTCAGATTGAAAGGGACAGGGAACTAACAATCTCTTTTCACAGTCTCCATGACACTGACACTTCAGTCATTTCTTACATAGAAGCTACATCTCACACAGAAGATACATCTCACAAAGAAGATACATCTTTTATAATCTTTGTAAACCCTCTAGGAACGTTTTCTATTTCCACAATATTATTTTGAGATGGAAGGATCTGTCTACATAATGAATTAGAGGCAAGTGCAATTTGGATTCAGGCAGCAGCATAATTATGCCTTTTGCTTTTTACTTCATTCCCTTGAAGGTCCCTTCTGACCTTTTATTTTAAGTTTTGACCACTTCCGATTATGCTGACATACACAGAACTATGTATTATACACCAAAAATCTCTTTTTTGAGAGGCAGTAACTACTTCAGAAGATACTATTTCTCCGTGAAGTTCAGATGGCTTCTTTCCCTTCACATGTGCATCACTCTTCCTTTTTTGAATTGCATTTGCCATTTTCTACACTGAATAACTCAGTATTATCAGTAAACTCGGTCACCTCAGCATTCACCCCCTTTTCCAGTTTTTTTATAGATTTTCCAAATAGCACAGGAAGGCTATTTGGAAAATCTATAAACAACAGCATAGCAAGGCTATGCTACTAATTTTTCCATTATGAAACCAGATTATTTTTAAAACTCAATTTGGAAGTTCAAGCATTCTATATCAACCACGCATCCTTATAAGGTATGACTTCCTTTCACAAAAACCCTTCTCTAGCATAACATGTTTATCTGTGTCCACTATTTCTTAGTACTTCATCTTACTTGCTCTTAATTTACATGGTGTATCAGGCTTACTAGTATGTATTCTCCCAGATCTCCCTTGGAGACCTTTTAAAGCAACGTTGTCCAATTTGCCACTTGTAATTTTTCATTTAATAACCAAGTGATTATACGCTGCAGCAGTTCAGCTATTTCAGCCATTAGTTCCTCTAGAATTTGTGGCTGAATAAATCTAGTCTTCATAATTGTTCCTTTTGTCTCTTTGTTCCTTAACCTCGTTTATTAAATTTTTGATACAAGATATACTCTCCAATTAGTCTTCCAAAAAAAAGAGTCTGCTATAGACACTTGGCTAATTTCTTTTTCAGTTAATATAAATTCCAAAGGAAAATAATTTAACATTTTTTCCATGGTTACTTATATATCTAAACACTGCCAAAACAATGCTGTAGTGCACCTAATCTAAACTGAAAAACTGCCATTCTGAAATAAACTCTTAAATTGCTCCAGCCTGTCAGAGACTAGAACAAAAGATGACCTTCTAATTTCTCTGCCTAATCAGCTGACATGGTGCACCAGGGGAACATTAGGCAGTTTTAATCATGGCAGTAGGAAAATCTGGTCATAAATTACTAAATCATAATCTGTCTAATTTGTGTCCTGATTACATCCACAGCTAGTAACACTTGTATGTGTCAACCTGCCTACTGATTAAATTTAGATTATTCAAGTATGCAACTATTTATTTTATACAGAATCCATAATTACACATATAAATCTCATCTAATGCCTTTCCTTTGTTTCATTTTACAGATTAATAAGAACGTTTACTTACCACAGCTTTCTGGTATGTGTGAATTCATAAGACCAAGTTCCCAAGCCCATTTTATAAGTGGAAGAGGATACTGAAATAGACAGGGAAAAATCACCTTCTGATTCATCACAGTCAACAAAGTTTATGCAGGTTAAGATAAAAGTCATTGTTTTCCCTTACACTATGGTAGATTTACCTCTCCACTTTTGTCATATTGTGCAGCAACAGGAATAATTTCCTCCACAGCAAATTTATGAGCAGAAGTTTGAAACTCTTTCTGTTCATCAGTAAGTTCTATTTAAAAAAAAAAAAAAAAGAAAGAAGTTCACAAATTCTCTACTATTTTAATTTTGTCAGTTATCAGACTACAAGAAAAGAGAAAGCAAGAGTGTCCTTCCAGGATAACCCAAACCACCACTTCCTGGGCCTCTGCAGGAAGCAAAAAAGCTCAACCTCCATTGTTCTCTCATCGACACCTACAACGCATGCACGCACTTCTGACAAAATTATCCACAAAAATACTGAAAACTGAGTAGAGAGGACTGTGTAACATAAAATGTGTTACCAAAAGAAACAAGAAGAATGCTGTGCTAATTAAATGGAGGAAGAGACGGAGGCAGATGTCTGTGAAGATCCTGGATACTCAGTTTCAAACACATCTAAATTTGCTTTATGCATATAACGTGCCAGGATAAGGATAAATTTCTTTGTAACATTTCTTTAAAACCAAGTTCAACTGTAACTACATTTGGTTCCTTAACAATGTAATCGGCAATGTGAAATAATTATTCAAAGCTAAAACACTTTTGCAATTAAAAAAGCTTCAGACACATATGAGTTAAAAAAAGAAGAAAATCTTATAAACACTACACACACAGCTGACTTGCCTGAGCTGGGGAAGAAAGTAATTTTGGTTTTTAAAGTGTTTTTTTTTTAAAAACCCAACAGAAATCTATTTAGAATAAAAACCTTGATTTTAAAGTCATGTCAAGCTGCAATATAGGATTTTATTTTTTTTAACTCTGCAATTTCCCCTTAATTGCTATATTTCTTTCAAAAATTGTAATACTTACTAAAGCTAAAGCCAGCTCCAGGTTTGCCTATATGTAAGTTTTGAGCAGGTTTACTAGAATGTGACTTCCATCCATGCCCTGCAATGGTTTGAAGCATTTGCTAAAGAGAAAAAGAGCATGAGGTGTGAGATCTTTACAGCTCAGGTCTCCTAAAGCTACTAGCCTGACTGCAGCACAACTTTAAATGTAGAATCCCTCTTTAGAAACAGTATCACATCAAGTATAATACAACTACTACAGTGATAAAATAATTCTGGGCCACTTTAAGTTTTGTTCCTGCGGCAAGCAGTGCTCACATGAACGCACAGCTATACCAGGAATCCCAGGCTCTGACAGCACTGAGATTGAATGAACTGCCATATCCCCTCTTAAGTATTGCACAACTGATTATTTACAAATAATTAAGAATAATTAATGTTCACAGACACGGCACTATGTATTTCTTTCATTTATACACACACTCAGAAAACCTGATTTTCTTGCCCAGCAGTGAATATTCCATCTATCCAATCTTTACCTACATGCAGATTTAGTAAGACTTTAAAAACAACCTACTTGCCAACCAGTATCTATCAGAATATTTTTATAATGTCCCAGACTCATACTCATACCTGCTTTCTTTTAATAAGCTGCCACTATGGACACTTAGTGATTATTGTTATTACACTCTAAATAGGACAGAACCCAGCAGACTACCCGAAGTTTAATTTTCTTCCTAATACTTATCACAAATTTATTCTTTTTCATTGTGCTTTTTTTCCTGTATTAAGTTTATTGCCCACAAATACTATTATTACAGCTATTTTCAAAAAGCCTTAATACTGTGCAAAAACACATCTGAATTTGATTTTTAAAGGTTGGTTTACCCACTTTCATCATTCAATAGTTATGAAACTGAAATGTTTGGCAAAAAAAGTGAAAAATATTTAATTGGATACATTTCTAGAAAGATCCAAATCAATACTGTGTGAAAAAAAAAAATAGCCTAAACACTAATAAAAGGCTTGTTCTCGATTTTCATATGTGAAAATGTAAAAAAGGGGGGGGGGGGGGGGGGGGGGAGCAGCAAAGCATGATCACTGATTCTCCCTCACACAGCTCCGGACAAAAAGGAAAAGAGGTGTCAAGAGCAGTTTTCTGCTGGGGTCATGTGCCAGGAGGCTGAACTTGAAATACCAATGCCCTTTGGCAGGTCCTTGCCTCAAGCATGACTTTTGATCTGTAAAACACCAGCTGGCTTCAGATGGAGACTCCTTCCCTCACTGACACTGTCACAGCCACGCTCTGGACACTGGTCAGGCTGCAGCACTTTGGGGCACAAGCCTGCTGCCAGGAGCCTTGACAACCGGCCCTTCCACAGCTCAGGCTCATGAACGACCCTGGAAACAGGGAAACCAGAATGTGTAAATGTCAATGCTAAACAAGGTGATATCTGAGCTTTGAATAATTTTCACTTTCTAGTTTGAAGCTGGGAGGTTATTGGTGGTTCAATACAGCAGAACGTTAGTACTTGGGAAAAACAACTATTATACATAACATAAATCTAAACACATTTGCAGAGGCAGCACAGCTCGGTGCGCTTAGGGAAATGCACTGTGTAAAATACCCTGAACTACAAGCCCGATGCTTTGAACCCATCTCCACCGTGTCAGCGGGAAGCAGGAGGTGCCTGACACAGGCAGGACAGCGTCGCCTTTGGCACA